TGACACTTTTGTACGTAATTCATAATGTCTTGTGTCATATTATCCCAATAGAATCGTGATGCTATCTTATGCAATGTATTGTTATATGCCAGGTGACCACCTAAAGGATGTTGATGATACGCATACATGATGTCTTCTGCTTCCTTTTTATTAAGCACTTTTCGTATTAGACCATTTTCTGTATTATATCGATGAAGAATGTTGTGATATATGGTGTAATTTTGTGCCTCTTTTTCTAGGTATTTTTTCATCTTTGATGTAGTATCTTCAGGTACTTTTAATGTTTGTAGATATGTCGTAATTTGTCTTATTTTGTCTTGTTCCATATTTTAAGGTTGATTGGTTGTAAACTTGTCTCAGTTAAGGTTATTGTTAAGTTTCAGGTTATTTTTCCCCTTTTTTTTTTGATTTTTGATTATGTTACACGATTTAAGATTATTTTGCAATGTTGATTCAAGCGTTGTCTATTTCCGTCCTTCTTAGTATTTTCCGATTTTATGCTGTTTTTGTGATTTTTGTAAAATTATGTGTCTACTACCCCACCCATCCTCCATGTAGTAATGATTATTGTTTTAGTATCCAAGTCTTGATAAGAAATCAGCGCTCTCGTTGACTCTTCCAGGTCTATACTTGATTTCATATTCATATTCTGATAGTATCACTATCCATCTAGCTATTATTCCTGTTGGATTGGTTGTTTTTACTAATCCTGTAAGTGCTGAATGATCCGTTATGATAGTAAATTTCTTTCCCAAGAGATATGGTCGAAACATTTTAACTGCCCAAACGACTGCAAGACATTTTAATTTTGTTGGTGCATAATTCACTTCACTTGGCCTAAGTCCTCTGCTGGCAAAGATTATTGGATGTTCTTTTCCATGGTCATCTAGCTGAGACAGTACACAACCTAATCCAAGTTTTGATGCATCTGTAACAAGTATGAATTCTTTATCAAAATCAGGTCGTGCCAAAACGGGAGCTGAGGTTAATAGCTTCTTGAGTGTTTCGAATGCTTCTGTGGTCTTTGATGTCCACGGTACCATCTTTTTTGTTTTTGTTTGATCGTGTAATGGCCTAGCTATTGCTGCAAAGTTCTTGATGAACCTCCTGTAATAGGACGCTAGTCCCAAGAATGCTCGTACTTGCGTTGTTGTTTTTGGTAACGGATATTCAATGATCTTTTTAACCTTATCAGGATCTGTTTGAATGCCTTCTTTAGTAACAATGTATCCAAGAAACTTTAAATGATCCTTGAAAAGGAAACATTTTTCAGGATTGAGCTTTAGATTTGCTATTTCTATACATTTAAATACTTGTTCCAAGTGTTTAAAGTGCTCTTCTGTTGAATTAGAATAGATATTTAAATCATCAATGTATGCAACTAGACATTTGTATAAAAGTGGCCTGAAGCATAGATCAATTAAGCGTTGAAATGTTGCTGGTGAATTTACTAAACCCATTGGTAAAGCATTGTAGTGATATGTACCAAACTTTGTTGTAAATGCTGTTAATTCTTTACTGTTTTCTTCAAGTGGAACTTGGTGAAAACCTGCTCGCATATCTAGAGCTGAAAAGACTCTTGCATTTCCGAGAGTATCTAAAAGATCGTCGATACGTGGCAATGGATAGGAATCCTTCTTGGTTATAGCATTCAGTTTTCGATAATCGATTACCATGCGATATTCACCATTCTTCTTTTTCACTAATATAACTGGAGCTGCCCAAGGACTATTTGAGGGAGAGATTATTCCTAGTTTACAGTATTTGTCCAATTCCTTCTTCAAGTATTCAGTTTCAACTGGACTCATACGATATGGGCGGTGACTAATTGGTAGTGTATTTTCTTCTACTATAATTTTATGTTGTAACAAGTTGGTGTGTCCAATTGTATCATTATACCAATCAAATATGTGTCGATATTTGTTGAGTAGCTTCTTCAGATGTAACTTTTGTTCTGTTGGTAATTGTCCAATCTCCAATTTTTCATACAGCTCTGATTCAATAGGAAGATAATTGACACCTTGATCATTCTTGTTACTGTCCATTGTGCATAGAGTTAATTGTTCGGTTACATCGTATGCATTTATCAGTGCTTCTGCATCTTTAATTATTCTTTCTAATAATCCTATTCTTTCATTTGGTTCCAAGATTATATCTTCCTTTGTTCGGTTGAAAAGGTGTATTTCAAAATTTCTCCTGTTAACCATTAGAGATGAACATGAATCAAAACATCCTGATGCATGGGATATCTTCTTGTTTAGGGCTTGAAAATAATATAAGAGATTGGGGTGTTCATCTTGTGGTTTTTGAAAACGTAATACTCTTGATGATTCTGCTGGTATAACAAGTCCATG